GTTTAAAATTTTTATTAAGGTTATATTTATTTTTCTAGAATTAGAGTTTTACCTTCCAATTTATAGCCAATACCCTGTATATTTCAACCTTCGCGTACTTGTATATGAATTGTTTCTTTTAAAAGAAAGTTTGCTGCTTGCTGCTACTGCTAACAATATATTTGTATCTAATTTATACTAACAACATTACAAATAAACGTGCACTAAACAATGGCCGGATGTTGTAAAAATAAACTGTGGAACTTAACCACATAATTAATCGAAAAACATTGTCTTTTTTATCTTAGTCTCGGTACATAATTGTTCATTTTAAGTATCATAAACAAGTACTTGACTCAGAAATATTGATATCCAGCAAAAAATTCGAATTATGTTTCCATAAAGAAATTATGATTATTATAAAATTTCACTGTAACATTGTGTCAGTAATAAATAGATGTGTAAATCAGTTCTGATTCGGTTCAAAAGTTGCGTAGACTTGAACTTTGAGCTATGGCTCAACAACGAAAATTGTAGCTCACGGCTTAACCAGGTGACTCGCTCGCAGCTCGACACAAAAAACTCAGTACAGGTACAAATTATACTGAGCTGCGATCCGATTTGCGCAATTCACATGTGACCTGATCTACAGCTCATCAATTTTAGTTGAGTTACAGATCACTATTAATGAAAGTTTACGGGCAGAGACAGACGGCTATAAACTGAGTATTGATATTAAATCGTTTATTGTGTGGGCGATGTCTCTCTAAATGTAGAATAATATTCCCCAGACTGTCTAGACTAGACTTGAATCGAATTGTAGTCGATGATAAAAGGTTTCCTATTGCAAAGTTTAACATAAATTTATTCTCTTTTTAAATGTAGTACAGACGGCTGTTTAAATATGTATGAAAATTTACAAAACTTTAGAAATGTAGATATAGAAGGGAGTCTGAAAGAACACATCGTCTACTTACTTTTTTTTTATTAATTCACCCAGACGGCTAAAAATTTTTTTTTATAATATTAAGTGGCAAACGAGCAAGCGGCCACCTGCATCCACCGAAATGGAAAGCGACCGTTGCCCATAGACATCCGCAATTGCAGATGCGGTGCCTACCCTTGATTGACGGAGGAGGAGACGCACATAAAGAGGATATTTTCCCATCCTATGTGTCTCTTCCACCGTCAAATCCACTTTTCCTTCCCATCCTTTCCTCTTAAGAAAAGGGTGGAAAGGGAAAGGGACTAAAATTAGGCCTCCTAAGTTAAAGCGAGTAGTCAAACAAACCTCAGCGGGAGCTCTGGCGTCACACGGATTAAAAGTGCGACATTATCCACTTTGCTATTAAGTGCTCCTGCTGACTACACTATGGACATAAGATGACGTCATTAAATAAGTTAGAATAAGTGCTGTCTTTGAATCTAATAAAAATGGGTAAATAACTTATGTCCTTTGTAATTATTTTTTTATATTAAATAACGATATCGATTCGTCGATTGCGAAATTCAAGAATCAATTTTTCAACAGAAATGGACAAGATGTCGGTTGGAATACTAAAATACAATTATTGTACATTACCTTAGCCTTCACATTTATTGCTATTACATTATAAGTGAATAGTTTCAAGACATTTTGGATTGTTTCTAGACACGAATGCTACAAGCATTCCTTGACGTAACAAATCTACAACTAACATAGAAACATATAGTTGTCTCATTTCTTTTAAGGTGAGAATAAAAGAGATGAGAATATGTCTTGTGTTGCAATATCTGGAAACAGCAATTGTCTCTGTTTAGTAAAAGAGAACGAAAAGGGATGACAAATGTCTGTTAAAATAATACGACAGTGGAGTTTTGGAACAAGACTTAGTTTAACTAGCTTAATCTCTTTGTTTAATAATATTATCAGACACTATTTCCTGTTTAAATATTTTGTACAACTTTAATTACGTATGAATGACGTAATATAAAGAAAACAGATTATATTATGTTTACAATTGTGTAACACAAAAGAGGAATAGTGCTCTATACAAAGTGGAAGAAAACTTATTAATAATTTTAAATAACTAATTTATTATTACTAAGTTACAAATCACATTTTAAACAGAATGTACTACTTCAACGGGCGTTCGTAGTGTTTGTATTTCGTGAAAGAATTCAATTTAGCACGAAAAAGCGGTGTGCTTGTATAAGACATTCAAGGTCTGAAACCCCGGCTGTCGATTACAAGCCAACTGAAAGCGTTCTGTAAATTGGTTCAATGTAATTCAATACTTTTGGAATAAACGGAATTAAATTATTTAGTAAAAGTTTGCGGTATAACAGAAAATACTTAACAAACAACTAAGTTTTTGTATATCGCTCTTTGAATATTTAAGATTATATATGGAATAGATTCCTATTGTTATTACTTAAACTTACTGAATCCATTTTACTTTAAGGAATAATGTTTGCTAAATGATATTTGATTTGATAACTAGCTGTCTTATTTAATAACTTTATATTCTTGTTTACATTTGTCAATTTCGCAAATGCAAATGTCAAAATTACCGTTACCATTATAACCGTGCTTTTGTAATGCTGGCAGCTTTTTCTCCAATTTATTTACTCCTTAAAGCGTGTCGTAACTGTAGGGTTTTACATTAAAGAAAGAATTATTAAAAAATATGCTGTGATTGCTGACATCCGACACCACTAAGTAGTGTGTGTTTACGCTTTATTATGTTAGTATACAACTATAGATGTAGGATTTGTAACATTAAACCGAAGCATGACCGAACTAATGACGTAGGGAACTCGATCGACGAACTCATACAGATAAATATAACCCCCAAACCCACTCACATCGACACTTATTCACAATAACAAATGAATACTTTATTAGTTACACGCAATGTGACGTGACCATTGACGTAATACGGATAGAAACCAGCTGCACTTCGTACAAGGACTACATTAACCAGACAATCTTTGTTACGTTACTGATTCAGTTTTGTGAATTTACGTCACAGGTTTAAATATATCTATAGAGCGGATATCTTAGTAATCTTACTAATATTATAAATGTTATTGTTTAAATACCTGGATGTTTGTAAGCGTTTGTGGCCTAAAAGCTTTGATGTAATTTGGCATAGTAGAGGACAGTCTGGAAGAACCCGTCGGGTATTTTTGGATTTTTAATTCTTCACAGACGAAATCGCGGACGAAAGCTATGCATATTTCAGTGCTAACTTTTATATCTTTACGCAAACGTCAGTGCAAACAAATGTTACATGCGGCTACTTCATACTAGACTTGATACTTGTACCTAATCATGGATTACGGAGTTATTCATTCTCTTGATACATCAATCAGAACAGTAGTCACATTACAATTATAATTCATTCTTCAACGCGAAGCAAATTAGGGAGAGGTTCTCTACCAACATAATATTCAGAAACAAAACACAAATGATCAAATTGAAAGCAAAAATGAATACTTCGTAATGTAAGTGCGCAAATTTTGCCTAACTTCATACGAACAATAACAAACTCTAAATATAAAGTTTTACAACTGAACTACGCCTCAAACATCAAAGAGAACGGAAATGAATGTAAAAATGTTGAAGTAATTCACGGATCAGAACACTAATAAAAACATTGAAGGTATTGAAGGATGTTGGGTACTTCAAATTAACAATACTTTTGTATACTCTTAAAAAACTTGTAATATCGTTTCAATTACGTGAATATATAGGAAAACGAAAAAGAAATGTTCGTTTTTTAATTTCAAATTTCGACCAAAGAGCAACTACTAGTAATAACATTTGGAATCAAAATAACGTACAAACAAGTCGGCTATGAATAAATACTGAATACTGTTTTCGTCTCTTATGACCATTCCTTGGTAATAACAGAGATTTTTCAATGTATGGATCCTTACATCTAGGTTATTAAAGTGATCTTAAAATGTATTTCCTGTTTCGAAGGAATTCGAATTATTCAATTATTAATTCTATCACATTTCATTCATTCAAATTCCCGTTAATATTAGTTTCATATGGTTTTCATTACCGGACCTTGGCCGATATAGCACGGCTCGCTGTCCGGCTCTCAATGAAACACGTGACGCTGACTTATTTCTGTCCGGCGCCAAACATTCCGCGCTATCCATCACACGTCCGAGTAAACATGCAATGGATACTTTTCAGTCGTCTACATCCTACGATATACAGATGACTATAAAATTGGTTTTAAAATCGTGGAAAAAGTCTGCCATATTTGGAGAATTTCAACTTGTATTATAAACGAAGTCAGGGGGAAAAATACATTGATTTGTTATGAATATTTTATTTATTTTTTTATTATAACCAAGCTATTAGAATAATAAATCAAATGATCTCTGTGCTGTTATTGTTGTTTACTTTATTATCACTGCGCTATATATTAATATTTCCTCGTGCGAGGGCGGCTTATTGCCAAAACGCGAAACTAATAATAACCCCCGTAACATTCAGCCAATGCCAAACGTAGCAACGATGTAAAAACAACTCTGTGCTTCATAAATAGAATCTATTTTAATATAGCTAGCTATCCGGAATGTTTACCGATTATAAACGACGTATGGCAATTGTAAGGCGTGCGACTGAAGATTGGGCAAACACGGCGTTTGTTTTGTATTATAATGATTTGTTAAACGCAAACAAGTCTGGCTTAGGGAGCGTTTATGTTAAACAAAGTATTACTTGAGGACTTCACATTATCGAGATTTTCAATGTCTAAACACTTACCGTGTTGTATGAAGGGAGGATTACGAAGGAAGGTCCTATAAATTAGTGACGTCACTTATTTCTGTAATTATATTACGGCCAAAGAACGACGACGCACTCTACAAAGCATCCGCTTCCCATCTCGGACCGCATATCAGCAATCGGCATCGAGCTAATCGCTTTGTGGGCATCAAATGCCATTGAACGGAATAGGACGTACATTACTTCTGGGATACCTACATCATCTTATTGTTTGCGTTTGTTGTTTCAGATACGAGCGGCTGCTTCGGCGCGCACGCAGCGAGGATCTGAGCGAGATATCGGGTATTGGCTGCTTATACCAGAGCGGCGTGGACCGTCTCGGCCGGCCGGTGGTCGTCTTCATCGGAAAATGGTTCCCCATTGGAGATATCGATCTTGATAAGGTAAGGCGAAGGTATGAAGACGAAAAGTCTCATCCGCTGTGATCCATTCGCTGACCTAATGTCATTTTGTCTCAGGCGATGCTGTACCTGATCAAACTGCTGGAGCCGATCGTCCGCGGCGATTACGTAATCGCCTACTTCCACACACTCGCCTCCTCCGCCAACCACCCGCCCTTCTCCTGGCTCAAGGAGGTCTACACCGTGCTGCCTTACAAGTATGTGTTCACATTTCCACTGCCAACTGACCGAGCGAACATTAAGAGAAGATACTCAATGATTACTTTATCTTTTCAGATATAAAAAGAACTTGAAAGCATTCTACATTGTACATCCTACGTTTTGGACAAAGGTGAGTTACTACTTTTAGAGTTGATAGCAAAAATTTAGATCGTGTTATGTTGAATAGCTAAATGTTGAACAAATGTTGTAACGTTGAATGATTGAACGTTGAACAAATGTTGTAGCGTTGAATAATTGAACGTTGAACAAATGTAGCGTTGAATGACTGAATGTTGAACAAATGTTGTAGCGTTGAATGATTGAACGTTGAACAAATGTTGTAGCGTTGAATAATTGAACGTTGAACAAATGTAGCGTTGAATAACTGAATGTTAAACAAATGTTGTAGCGTTGAATGATTGAACGTTGAACAAATGTTGTAGCGTTGAATGACTGAATGACATTGTGTGTGTGACATTTCAGATGATGACGTGGTGGTTCACGACGTTCATGGCGCCGGCGATCAAGGCGAAGGTGCACAGCCTGCCCGGCGTCGAGTACCTCTACTCGGTGATGGCGCGCGACCAGCTCGAGGTGCCCGCCTTCGTCACTGAGTACGACATGACTGTGAGTGCAAACACTAACGGAATAATACACTCTACAGTATGCTAAAGATGGAATACAACTTTAATATTTTGTTTGTTTCCAGATAAATGGCCTCCACTACTTCCAGCCTGATACCAGCAGCACGTAGACTGACTGCTGCCGTCGCCTGCTTCCCTAATAATTTATATTTGGCCAAAAAAACAATACAAAAACCTGTAAAACAAAAAATCTTAATTAAGTTACTTGAAAGAATATTAAATTCGGTAATTTTTACACAACACTGTGATACAATATTACTGGATTAGTAAAATTGATACTGGATACAGATTATACTATTTAGAAATGTTTGGAAAATCCAGAAAAAAAAAACATAAGAGATTAATTAAAAAAGATAAAAATATTTTATTTCTATTGATTTGTGTAAGGAAAGCAAAAGGCAAAGTTAAAATATATTTATGTCTTTAATGAAAATGTATGACTAATTGAAACTGTGTACAATCATATATGAACTGTTACATAATGACGTAATTTTGGTTATGATGGTGTTAAAATAGTGTGAAATTCTTGTTGAAATTTCTGCTTAGCCGATGTACTACAAACTTTTAATTATAAAAAAAATATAAAGCTTTCCAGCTAACCTAATCTCTTGTCTCTTTGTCTATCTAAGTAATTAAATTTTTTTTTAAATAGCAAAGCAGAAATATCAAAAGGAAATATTGTGAATGTAGACGCGTGCGATTTAGATATAGAGGTGCATTTTATATTGTTATTTAGCGAGTAAAGTTTATCCGTAATTATAATGTGTTGTTACTAGCGACCTCTGTGCTCTTTTCATTCCTGTATACATTATCTGTGCCAGTATTCTTAATCTTTGTATTATCGTATTTAATCTGTGGCAGTATTTTTAATCTTTGACAATGTTTACTGTATCTGTATTTTTGCCACTTTATCGGATTAGAATCAAGGGGAATTTAAAAAATCTTTGAAATTCTTCTGGTATTTGATAATAACTGTTGCAATCAGCTCTTATTTCCACATCCGATATGATTCTGCGACAGGGTATAGGTGTAAAATTTCCGATCGTGTAGAATTTGACAAAGATATATTTTATTAAATTCGTGACAAAGTGCATTTAATGCCATTTTATAATCTTTATCACTACAAATAAAATATAAATGGAACAAAAGCAATAGCTAAAAAATACAAAATTATAAACATAATTAATATAGTCATAGAAGTATTTAAGAGATATTTTATTAACAAAGATAAATACATTTAAAAAGTACACATTAGCATGTCCCACATTTTATTTAAAATTCTACAACAGTTTTCGTTATCATTACTGTGCTAAATATATTTCGTTAAAGTAAAATTTATGTTTGATGAGGTCATTGTAAATATACAAAAAGATTTTGGTAGTGATTGCAACATAGGCCTACGCGACAATTGTTTTACTTATTAATGTGACAAAAAGCCTAAGAACATCATGGCAACATAAAAATGTTGCCATCTGCAACTATGTTCTTAAATAAAAATATAAATATAAAACTAATAGAAAACACCAATTTTAATACAACAATTTCTTATAACAAAACAAAATGTTTTTTACATCAAAATTAATTCTTTAGGATTGTAAAATAGTAATTATCGCAGCTTTTTGCGAATGAGTGTCAATGTTCTGCCACCACTGCCATCGCTGCCACGCCTCACGCCTCACGCTTGCGGCCACGAGGTAGGTAGCGTTTTAGGTAAAACTTCCAAATTGGTAGATATTTGTATGTGATATGGCAACATGTTCACTACTGTTGTGAAAAATTTACTGTTGGCCAATTAAAAACAAAAGGTTTCGTGAATAAGTGAACTCCTGTGTTTGATGAAATTTCCTATAGCACGAAAAAAATACCGAAAACAAGGGCACAAAGCCTTAGGAAGTACACAATCTCGTTTTCATAGTTCATTTATTGCCTAATTTTATTGTTTTTAATTGGCTAATAGTGTGCACTTGTGGAATTGTTTCCTCAATATTGTACATTTATATTTTTTTAACCACTCATCGATGTGCCACTAAGTGTTTACACCAATAAATTAATATTTCTATTGTGATGCAGTAATCGCGCGAGGAGATGTTTAATTATAGAAGTTGATTAGTATTTTAATGCAATGTTGTTGTAAAACATATAAGAGTTAAAACATTTATTATAGTTCTAAGCTGTAATTAAACATGTAATTTGTTGAGGCATTTGCAATGTTATCAGATTTCTATCAGTGTTGCCACAATTTGATGTTTTGTTACAAGTATTGTGCTTTTAATTGTTAAACATAAAAAAGCAATAAACAGAATTAATAAAGGATTAATCAAATTATATGTTTACAAAACTTAAGGAATAAACAAAGATAGCAATATCTTTTTGTACAAGTTTTTAGTGAAATTATTAGATCTGTTCTTCAACATCATTAAAATTCTTAAGAGATAAGGAAAATACATATTTACGCTGTTTTAAAATATGACGAAATTTTATCAGATGTTAAGGTTATGTTGGATTGCTTTGCCTTACAAGATCATCGTTAAAGTTTGCTGTAAGGTCATTTGTGACGTGACTAAGACAATGTGATGACCAGAGTTTGTTAACTTTCATATTTTATTAATATAGCATTGAATATAGGCCATGTAAATATTTAACAGAACACAAAATAAAATTATTAATTTACTAATTATCTGTTTTATTTACCCCAGAGTTATTTAGAGCATTTTACAACACCTAAAATATTACCTACATTGGAAGTAATAGATCACATGACTGCAGGAATGACGAAATTACATGTTATTTTGCACTGCAACTGAAAATAGATAGGTAGGAAATGCAGATTTAGGTATTATAAAAAGACAAAATTGAATTATTGTAATAATTTAACACTTGATAAAAATATAAAATGCATCATACATTTACTTAGATAAATTGAACTTGTTTAACACAGTAACAACAAAGTTTAACATAGGATACTTGTCTGCTGCTGACATCAATGATATTTTTAAAACAGTCAAAACATTTGAGAGAAGATGTCCACCGATAGCTCCTAAGTAACAGGGTATCGGCCACTTCTGCCAGGGTGTATTCCAGTCCAGTGGTATCACGACAGCGCCCAACCACGCCCCGCATACTGTCAGCAAAGCATTGTTAACTAACATCTCTATTATTGTATCTCTAGAGAAATGTTTCACTCCAAATAACAGTTGCATAGCCGACTCCACTCCAGCGTGAGCTACTAATGGGAATACGGTCAGCAGAGTCAAAAGCGCTGATAACATAAGTGTTTCTTCGTGACTATCCAATACCGGCGCCCCAAACAATATCATACCAACGAAGAAACAAAATATAACTCCCAAAAGAAATATGCCAGAGTTTATCACATCTCCAACTTGCATCTTATTACTTTTAACCTTTTTGGATACAACATTACTGTTCAAATAGAACGATTTCAGCAGCTCCGCGACATATATTAGTAGCAAAACATAAAACGTCGAACCATTTCCCAGCGAATACAAGAGTCCTTTGTATGATATCACAGTAATAATGCTTGGTAAATAAATACATGTAATTAAACTTGAAACTGCAATTTTTCTCAGTTCTAATTGATTATTCAACGAAAACATTTTGCTTAACTAATTCTAATAAGATATTTTGTTTGACATAGAGTTTGACTTTGACAGTACTAACAATTCTTATCCATCAATGTTATTTCTGATCATAACATTTTTAAGCCGAATACATACATATAAGTTTTTAGAATGAAGAGTTACATCATTTACACTATCAAATGATGAATAGTTCTTTGTCCCTTCTTCACGAAAATTGTGTTGATTATAAAAATGAAAATATTTAAAGTAAAATCTGCATTGAGAAAACCAAAAAAATAATTTTTACACGCATATGACAGTTGTTTTAGTATGTTACAAAGTACTCTGTGGTTGTCACTGACGAGTGCTTATGTTGCCATTCCAAATGGCTATAATTTACAAGTAATAGAAAAATATTAACAATGGCTCTTTTATGCTTTTTTCGCTTTTATAACAATTTTCCGAGTTAATTTATTATTTGTAAGCTAGTATCGGGTAGCATAACTTACTTTCAAAAAGAATTCGCTGTTTAACTGAACTCATAATAACTCGATGACATTTTATTTTGTCAAAACCGTCCTTACATTATGGCAACAATCTAGTTGGATTCAAATCAAAATAAATTATACGTGTAATGAATGAAGTGTAGTACAAAACAATTCTTTATCTTATTGGAGTCGTGACGACACGGTCTTTATAAATGAAAGGTGCGGTGTAAAAAACCTCCAGTTGATCTTAACGCTTGCGTGACGTTCGGCTACAGTGCGAGCCAACGTTCCACAAAATCATCGTCTTACAAATATTTTCGTGTCGCAAGTGTGTGCCATTGATTACATAAAATGCCTTGTCCATTTTTGGGATCGTTCAACCAAGCCTTCGTGAGGAACTACGGTTCCGCGCTGATGAAGCAGTATGGAAACTACTGTCCGATGATTTCTCGCAGTTTCCGCACTCTAGGTCAAGACGAGACGAAATGTCCTTTCATCCAACAGAACTCGATTATTTCCGAGGCGCCGAAGGAGATGTCGGAGGACATCGTCGAGCCTGTCAAGCCGTACAAGTATGAAAAATTCTTCAATGATCAAATAAGTGCTAAGAAGAAGGATTACTCCTACCGCATATTTAGAAAGGTATCGCGGTTGGCCGCTGACGGGATGTACCCGCAAGCTCTCGAGGGTCAAGAGAACCGCCGCGTGACCGTGTGGTGCGCCAATGACTACCTCGGGGCGTCGCGTCATCCCGTCGTACAAGATGCTGCTATCGCTGCCATTAAATCCTATGGCACTGGTGCTGGAGGTACTCGTAATATTGCTGGCAACTCACAAATGACTGAAAAACTTGAAGGAGAAATTGCGAAACTACATAACAAACCAGCTGCTCTAATATTCAGTTCATGTTTTGTTGCCAATGATGCAACACTGTCTACCCTGGCCAAAATATTACCCGATTGCATTGTCTACTCCGATGCGGGGAATCATGCTTCAATGATTCAGGGGATAAGGAACAGTCGAGCACCTAAACATATCTTTAGGCACAATGATCCAAATCATCTTCGAGAATTATTATCAAAATCACCTGAGGGTGTACCAAAGCTGGTAGTTTTTGAAACTGTACACTCAATGAGTGGAGCTATTTGTCCCTTGGAGGAAATGTGCAATATAGCACATGAGTATGGGGCGTTGACATTTGTAGATGAAGTTCATGCGGTAGGGCTGTATGGAAAGAGTGGTGCTGGGATCGGAGAAGAGAGAGGGGTCCAACATTTAATAGATATTGTATCTGGAACATTGGGGAAAGCTTACGGTAATGTTGGAGGGTATATAGCGGGATCAACATTACTCATAGATACAGTAAGGTCATTAGCACCAGGATTTATCTTTACAACGGCTCTACCACCGCCCGTGCTGGCGGGATCTTTGGCTGCCATTAGACTCCTCGCCAGCGAAGAAGGAAGAAGCTTGAGATCAAAACACCAAGCCATTGTCCGTTACTTTAAGTTATCACTGCTTGTCGCCGGGCTGCCTCAATTGCCATCAGTCAGCCACATAGTGCCTGTTCCCATTAAGGGTGCAGACAAAGTGGCGCTGGTGGCGGAATCTCTCATGAAGAGGGGGCATTACGTGCAAGCTATAAACTATCCCACCGTCGCCCGAGGCGAGGAACGTTTGCGTTTCGCTCCGGGCCCCTACCATACACCTGAAATGGTGGACAGCCTCGTAACTGCCTTAATAGAATCATTCCACGAAAACAACATAAACTTCGACCAGTTCATGGTGAACGGTGCCTGCCGCGAGTGCAGCATGGAGTATAAAGCAGACATCATGCAAGATGAACTACTCAAATTCCCGATGCAAGTTGCGTAAAGTTAGCTTTTGCTAATCACGAGACAAAAATGACAAAATATGTTGTATGTTGTATAGTTTATTTCTATTGTTCTATTAACGGTTTGTGGTTTTCTGGTAGAGGAAATAAAAAAAGTTAAATGTTGTACTTATGCAATGTTTTATTTAGTCCCAATATTTGATGAGTCCGTCCCATCCGGCGGTGAGCAGCTTGCTGGGCTCGTGCGGGTGCCACAGCGCGGCGATGCAAACGCCGTCGTGCGCCTTCCACTTCTTGTACAGCTTGGTTGTCTTCCAGTCCCACACGTAGCACTTGCCGTCCGCGTCGCCGGACACCAGGTAGCTGACAACAACAAAATTACAATTAACCTACGCCCAGTTTTGACAGCAAAATAAGCAGTGTTTAAAAATAAAACTTCGACATACATTCATAAACACTTAAACAGAAATAAAGCGAGGATTTCCCTTGGAGTTAATAATTCTTTCTTTGAATTTCCCTAACATATATTAATCAAAACCAGTTGCAAGAATTTATAAACAAGTTTTTAAAAAATTCAAAAATTTTATCGATATTTGCCATTTTAGTAAAAGTAGGTTCAATGGTTTAACATGTGATCTACGATCTAAAACCCGGGTTTCGAAAACAAACACAAACAATTGTTTGAGTGTCTATTAACTGTCAAAAACTAAAGGTACTTTCTTTACAATTGGAAAGAGTTATAAAACCACAATACAAAAACTGGTTTTTATAAAACTAGAGTAATTAAATTACTCGGAAACTTGTTACCGACGTTTTTAAACGTCACGCGTAATTACGTTCATCGAAATACGCTGTAATTTGAATAATAAATATTTCACGTAAACATTAAACATAGTTCTTATATAACCAAAGCGATTATATATTCTTATTTATTGGAACACATTCTTAAAGGGCTTGTTTTGTCATCCATTGGATGGTGTTACTATAACTTACAAACCTATTAGAATATTCAACAAGAATGACCAGGACATTTGTAATATTTTTGGTGTTTAACTTATTAAAAAAAAAGTATTTTTATAAATATATGATTGTGGTGATGTTATTTACAATCTATTACAAAAGTACTAAAGTAATATTCAAGTAACATCGACTGATGAGTTTAAAACCGGTCTTGTAACCACTAATTACAAGTTCTATGTGGTATTAAATTGTAACCGTAGGTTTGCACTGTCAAAACAAATGCATAAACTCAACTCTTTCATTTTTACAAAAGACTGAGACCAAAAACAATGCAAAAATTGCGTTTTTCTTGAAGCAAATATGAATAACGGTTAGGTAACATTTATTTCTGTGTTCTATTACAGTAATTTTATAGTGTAAAATATTACAAGAATAATCAGATATTGGCCAGGATTTTGTTACACAAAACACGTTTTTTTTCGAGGTGGCACCTCGAAATTGTTCATTCGCTTGTTAATACTTTCACGACCCACTAGCGCCCTTCAAATACTCTGCAATGTTAGAATATTTTTGAACCTCTTGGACTAAACTTGAATACTGATTAATTATGTGTACGTTTTTTATATTTGAAAATAGTTTATTTTTGCATTTTATTTTTAGATTAAAGGCCTGTCCCACCAAATTGTAAATTGTCTGATAACAATGCAACGTGTAAAATATGTGATGGAAATATCGGATTTTGTTCCCTTATCTGACAGTGACGTCATTTTTAAGCTATCTGAGCCTCTATCAGCCAGTAGTGGGACAGGCCCTAAAAATCGTATTAACTTTATAATGAGCTAAATAAACCGAAATTGTGGTGTGGAGTGAAACATTTTTATAAACCAAAGTACACGGATTCATATGACAACCTCGGTTTATTCCACAATATCTCATTGATATACAAAGATACAATAGAGATATAAATACATATAGATTTAGATCGTACAATAAACTGGTATTTTATCTTATCGACAATTCGCAATTCGGCAGCGACATCGCAAACGTGATATTATACTAAACATATAGTACCGTAGTAACCAAGAAATTACTAAAATAATCTAACGACAAATGTTATCTTTATAGGATATACAAAATATACCTTTTTAAGTCTTCACACAGAAGACAGGCGTGAAATGGAACCAATGCCGTGTTTCGACTGATGAGTGTGGTGCCGGAGGCCTAATTTAAGTCCCTTTCTCTTACCACCCTTTTCTTATAAGGAGAGGATGGAAAGGGGAAGTGGATTTGACGGTGGATGAGATGCATAGGAAGGGGAAATATCCTCTTTATCTGCATCTCCTCCTCCATCGGATACGGGTAGGCAACGCATCTGCAATTACGGATGTCTATGGGCAGCGGTCGCTTCGCCATTTTGGCGGATTCAGGTGGCCGCTTACCACCTTATGTTATAAAAAAAAAGTGTAGTTCATTGATATGGATAGAACCCAACAGAGGTAAAATTTGTATGTAAAAATATAAATACGTCATCATGCAAAAAGTACCATAAAAGGAGTGAGTCTTAACCACGTTATGACCCAGTGTAGAACTGGCTTTACACATCTTTGAATTTCTTCGCAAATATGTTTACTTTTCGCAAGCAATTCGATATTTTTCTTTATCGTAAGGAGATGTAAAGATTGTTGTTGCTGTATAAAGTTATAATAAGGACGGCCTTTTCAAGCAACGAAATAATTCAAGCCTTTTGGTATTTTTACATTGCAACATCTAAATCGGACAGCGTTAACCGAAGTTGAACCTTGAACGGTACTCAATTATTCTATCAAGGATGTCGGTGATTTTTTCTCACACTTTAAGTAACCGTGAAAGTGATTGATTTACTTTGCCTTGTTTTAAAACTTAATACGAGGGCCTACAAAGCCAATTCCTATAACGCTACACCATGAAACGTTATAGAGGTTTTACTGTAGAAATGTATTAAGTACTTATTTATTCCTCGCTGATAAAAAGTCACGGGCGACTGCTAGTGTTAAATAATAAAGAAATAATACTATTACCATTTCTATTGTTATTATGTTGGGAACAATATTCAGACTAACCAAATAAAAAACAGTGCAGACTTGATTTAAACTATGTGCAAGTAAACAGTTTAAGACCCAATGACCTAGTGATACGGTTTAAATTCGTTTGCAATAAGAAAGGTAATGTTGCAAGGTGAATGCACCAAATACCGGTCACTTCGGATTTACCAACATTCACACGAGAGCCTTTATGGTGTGTGTTAAAAAATACTCATGAAGCATTAAATATTTTATATATTGTCAAATCAAGTAAAAATAGAGCAGAGCTGAACAGAACCGAACAAAAGCTGAGCAGAACCCCTGTTCTGAACTCTTTGTCTTCAACTACCTGCACGATATCTTAAAACTATATAAGATAGCTGTTCCCATGCAGCTTCATCCGTTTAAAATTATAAAATTTCATTGTTTACAATGACAAATTCTCAATTGCAAACGTCAAATTCAAATTACCGTACCATAGCAATCTTGCTTCCTTGATGTTGCCAGCTTGTTCTCTATGGTCTCTTTTCAACATCAAGGTTTTTTCCAATTTATTTACCCCCTAAGTTTACTAACGTGAAAATATATAGCCTAAAGCGTGACGTAAGTGTAGAACTTTTTATTTCAAAAACAATTATTCAAAAATATGCTATAATTACTGACATCTTAGGCAACAAAGAAGTGTGTGTTTAAAGCTTTATTATAATAGTATAGAAGTATAGATATATATTATCAAGCGATTTTTCATTTCGTATTACGGAACCGACAGCTACGTTCTTAATGAAGTTTTAGAAATTGAGGATATCTAGCCAATATATTGCCAAAAACGTTCGGGATTTCCTATCTAACAAAAATAGCACAGCCATAGCTATAGTGGATTGGATATTGTGTTCCTAATTTATTTCTTGTAGGTATTGTGTTAAAAATAAAATAACAATTATATAATGAATTCAGAGATGAGATGTTTTGTTGATATGACGCCAGAGACGGGCGAAGCTGCCAATATTATATCTCCGTTTAAAGTTGTCACGCGATTTGAAATTGATTAGAGAGTAGAAATCGACAATACGATAAATCACAAAAATACATATTTATTTGTAATGCACAGATTGAAATCAGGTTAAGGTTTATTTAAAAGTATAACCTTCAAGCTATCGCCGGACTTCAGGTCTTGGGGTTACGAGAACAAGTAATAACATATTACTGATATTAAATTATATTTTTAATTGCATTAATATCCGAGTTTCGATCCGAGTTCGAGTTTACACTGATTATTATTATAAACACAACTATTTTATTACTTTGTGTAACACATGATATGCGTAAGGGAGTGGATATTGTGCCGACGTCCACTTCCACTTCACGAGAATGGTTTTCATGACATTATTATGTGATATCTACGAGCATTAATCGATGGCAACCGATAATCTAGGCTATTTCTAGAGACAGAAATAGTATTTAAATCTATGCATTTAAAAGAAAAATTCCAGATTTCGGGAAGATGATGTATTTGTGTTGCAGATAACGAAAATCTGCCTGTCTGTCTGTCTGCAAGCCGCGTTTGTTCCGCGTAATCTCTGCAACGGCTGGGCGGATTTTGACCTAGCTTTCACTGAAGGGTAGCTGACATAAACAGGCATATTATAGGTTACTTTTTTTTCTTATATTGTATAGACGAAGTCCCGAGCAACAGCTAGTTACTATTAATTTTACATTTTTAGAACCTCTATGGAGCAGTTGCCTCAATCTTCTTCCCCATTGGCAATGCTCATAACAATGTTATGCCTAGGTAACTTGATGGTTATTATTGGGATACCTAGCGTTTGCTTCCTTATTTCATAAACAATGTTTTAGTCCAATTCAGATAAAAATATTGTGATCTACTAATAGGCCATTTACAATCGTATTCTTATCTTTACAGACGATATTATATTGTGATTTCAGGTTCTGAATCATTACACAAAAATGTATGTTTATTGGCAATGAAATATTTTACAAAAAATAATTTCAAATGCCTCTATTAGGTAATATTTGATAACGAAACCATTGGAATGTGTCAATGTCAAAATATTCTCATAACATGTTTTTATACATAATATTTCTGTTATGGAAACCCACAGAAACATCAAGGAGACCATCTTACTTTAACTTTACTTGTATGACTGACCAGAGACATTAGAAACGTTTTTTGTGTTTGCTAATGTCCAATCTGTTTTTGCTAAGATGCTTTTAGATTACGGAACCAATTCATTTTGTTTTAAATTTTATTTGTAGACAAAAAAAAATGCATTAAATATAAAAATGCTATGTTTTAGCATTTGTCTTTCTGAATATTTTATTATT